GATTTCCAAATTTAATTTTTCGAATTTTTACATTACTTGGGCACATTAAAATTATCTTAGGGGGTGGTCAAACGTCAAAAGATAATTCTAAATCGTTATGGATCTTTATTGTAAACTTATGTCGTTTGACCATTTTTTCCAAGTGGGAATTCGATTTCCAAATTTTATTTTTCGAATTTTCACACTACTTAGAAATACTAAAATTATTTTAGGGGGTGGCCAAACGTTAAAACATAATTTTAAACCATTATAGAACCTTATTTGTGTATTTATGTCGTTTGACCATTTTTTTCAAGCCGCAATTCGATTTCCAAATTTAATTTTTCGAATTTTTACAGTACTTGGGCACATTAAAATTATTTTAGGGGGTGGTCAAACGATAAAACTTAATTCTTAATCGTTATGAATTTTTTTTCCAAGTGGGAATTCGATTTCCAAATTTTATTTTTCGAATTTTCACACTACTTAGAAATACTTAAATTATTTTAGGGGGTGGCCAAACGTTAAAACATAATTTTAAACCATTATAGAACCTTATTGTGTATTTATGTCGTTTGACCATTTTTTCCAAGCCGAAATTCGATTTCCAAATTTAATTTTTCGAATTTTTACATTACTTGGGCACATTAAAATTATCTTAGGGGGTGGTCAAACGATAAAACATAATTCTTAATCGTTATGAATCTTTATTGTAAACTTTTGTCGTTTGAGACTATTTTTTCCAAGCCGAAATTCGATTTCCAAATTTTAGTTTTCAAATTTTCACACTACTTAGAAACACTAAAATTATTTTAGGGGGTGGTCAAACGTCAAAACATAATTTTAAATCATTATACAACCTTATTGTGTATTTATGTCGTTTGACCATTTTTTCCAAGTGGAAATTCGATTTCCAAATTTTATTTTTCGAATTTTCACTCTACTTAGAAACACTAAAATTATTTTAGGGGGTTTCAAACGTCAAAACATAATTTTAAATCATTATGGAACCTTATTGTGTATTTATGTCGTTTGACCATTTTTTCCAAGCCGAAATTCGATTTCCAAATTTTCTTTTTCAAATTTTCACACTACTTGGGAACATTAAAATTATTTTAGGGGGTGGTCAAACGTCAAAACATAATTCTTAATCGTTATGGATCTTTATTGTAAACTTATGACGTTTGACCATTTTTCCAAGTGGAAATTCGATTTCCAAATTTAATTTTTCGAATTTTCACACTACTTGGGCACATTAAAATTATTTTAGGAGGTGTTCGAACTTCAAAATTTAATTCTAAACTATTATGGATCTTTATTGTGTACTTATGTCGTTTGACCATTTTTTCCAATTTAAAATGCCCTTTCCAAATTTTAGTTTTCGAATTTTCGCACTACTTAGAAACACTAAAATTATTTTGGGGTGTGGTCAAACATCAAAACATAATTTTAAACCTTTATGGATATTTATTATGTCCTATTGTGCCTTTCTGACCATTGATCTATCTTTTAAAGTTAAAATTCATCCTAGAACTCTTGTTTTTCTATAATTTACCCCCTTTAAATTATTTTAAGGGTTGTTAAAAAAAATCTAAGGGGTGATCAAACATGGTCAAAAATTGGTTAATCTTATGATGCAGTCAGTTTTAAAAAATATTAACTTTGGGGGCCAGCGGGCACTCGGCCATTAATATTTTTTTAAATATTTAGGTTTCTGAATGTGGTCAAAAAAAATTTGTGGTAAACATGGTCAATAAGTGGTCAAACGTATGCCGCTTCTAAAACTAAAATTTTTGAATTTCGGGAGGCCAGCTTCACAGAGCTCTTAAAAACAATATTGAAAATTTTTGAGTCAAACAAGCAATGGAACATGCAGACATGTTTATTGTAAATACTGCAATAGAGATGTCATCCGAGTTTAATTCTGTGATCATTGTTGGGGAAGATGTAGACTTTCTAGTTCTCCTTACAGCTTTGGCTGCTGCTTGTCAAAACATTTTTTGAAACCAGGAAAAGGTAAAATCTTTATACCACTGGAAAAACGTTACAGATATACTATTTCTACAAGCTTTCAATGACTGTTCTTGCCAGTCAAGTTCCTAACTATCCTAAAAAACAGAAGCAGAAGATAATTCATGTTTTTCAAGTTAGTCATGCCGAAGCAGACATTATTGTTGATGTTGGAGAATGCTTTTTTCTGGCACTGTATCCATCCAACCATGAAAACAATATTTCTATTACGCCTATCGTTACCAATGTGTTCTAAGTTAATCTACAAAAAGCAAGTTTAATATCGCGTTTTTACCACGTACAATTACAGCAGCACGGCATAATCCATTCACTGGCAACGAATATCAGGGTTTCCTATTCGTCTAATGCTAACTCTCTGTTGTTTTCACATGTACTTGTACAAAAACTATTGAAAAACGTTCAGTGGCTGACACTGTATACTATATGATACCTGACCTACTGGCAAGTTAAAATCTAAAGTGCTTTCTGACTCGACTATGTACCTTTAGTATTGCATATAAATGTGACAGTCGTCCTACTATTTTGTTTTTGTGACATATAAGAAACAACCGTCCTGAAAGTAATAAATATTAAATCATTACCTAATTATGTCTTTACATATTTCTTTCCAATAAGTACAAAATAAACTGTTTTTATTAAGTTTTAATTTTATAATATCATCTTTTGTTCTTAATGTAAGTTTTTGTATACTTTTGTAGGGAAACCTTTATGAAATCTTTTAAAGAAAATTTAACGTGAATTTTAAATAAAAGTTTGCTTCAGTAAAGTCCACCTTATGGTTTAATTATAAAATTAGCCCAAAAAAGGCGAATTCCACTGTCTCTAATACTTGATACTAGTATATTATGTTGAAAATACGTAGATTTTTGATTTATTTCTGATATTTTATAGTTTAATCAAAATAACTGTTCGTAAAGAAATATGAAGTCGACATATTGCTATATAAAAGAACAAAGATATTTTTCTATTTTCAATAATATTTGAAAAACTCATTGAAAAGACTTTTTCCGATTAGCACGCCAGCTTATTTTCAATTTATTATACTAAGGGTCGATCTTTTCACCTCTGAGTTAAGTTACATGTAGGTTACTTGCTAGATTAACAAACAATAGCCCTATAGTTTAATCAGCAAGTAGTTACTTTCAACTTTAATCAGAGGTGAAAAGACTGGCTCTTAATCGAAATTTTTTTAAGTAAATCGTTAAATAAAAATAATTTACTGTACCTAAATACGTTTTTGGTATTTAAATTTATTTTTGTACGCCTATGGGACGAACCTTTGATAAACAAATTTCCTAGAGTTAAATTTGTGAAATGATGAATGAAAAAACCGGTTTACAATTTTTACAAATATCGATTTTCTTATATTTCTGCCAAAGACGCTTAGCGTTGGCTTCAGAAATTTTGTAAACAATTCTATCTGTCTTGGTTATATATCTTTGGTCCTTAAACTACTGTTCTATAATTTTGAGAGCTACTTGTATTCTTTAACAGAGTTTGTTCTCTAAAATCCCTGACCAAGTCATGTGCATACACTATTGTGTAGAGACTGTCATTATTGAGGCGACTGATGAGGGTGTCTAGGACCATGTTCCACAGTAGAGATGATAGTACCCCTCTCCGTGGACATCCCTTCGCAACCAAGCCTCTTATATTCCCATCTACAATTATGTTTACTGCTTGCCATCTGTGGAACATTCCTATTGGTTAATGAGTGTATTATCCTGGGGAAGGTCGTCTTACCAAAAGCACCTTCTGTGTCTACGAAAACACTAAAGGCGGAATCTTTATTGTCCAGGTCTATATCTATCTGGCCAGTAATTAGGTTAAGAGCTGCATTAGTAGATCTTCCTGGAGTGTATGCATGTTGATTTGGGTGTAGTGGTGTTATTGTAATCATCACATCCCGTATGTACCTTTCACATAGTCTTTCCAATGTTTTCATGGAAAACGATGTCAGGCTAATTGTTCGGTATGTTTTTGGAACAGTGTAATCCCTCTTTCCAGATTTGGGTATGAATACTACTTTTACATCTTTTACATTTTACCTCAAAGCCAATGACGATCTGAATATACCTACCAGGTGTGGTGTGAGTTCTTCCAGACCCCACTGAAACAGGGCTGGATAAATACCGTCAGGTTCTGGCGATTTAAATGGAGAGAAGCTAGGTATTTTCCATCTAATTTTGTTATCGTCTACAATCCAATCGTAGACAGATGTATTGTATTTCTTTACCCATGTTGGCCACGTCTGTGATGACTGGTCAATGTGTTGACAGCAGAAGTTTAATGCTATCTTCCAGGTTTGCAGTTTTCTTGCCTTCTCTTTGATTATTGCATCAATACTGCGGTGTGATCTATTGAGAGAGCCTTCTGAAGCTTCGCTGCATGTGGAAAATTGATTTCTTCGCAGTGGGGGGATCTCCATGCATCTCTTTGTTTTTGTCTAACGATTTTTTTGTATTCTCTGAGGTGAGATTTGTGAGTGTCCTAGTCCACTTTGAGTTTTGTGGTATTGCATTATTAAATTATTTCCTAGTCATCTTTTTGAGGTGATCCAACTCGTGACACCATCATGCGGTAGTCGTCTGATCATGTTGAACCAGCCTCAGTGAACAGAATTTTTTATAGGAATTGTTTATTGTGCTTTGGATGGTGTTCAAGTACTTTTCCAAAGCATTATTTGCCGTTTCGGCCTCCACAAAGGTTGTTGTACAAGAGGCTGTTTGGCACAGGTTTACCTGAAATTAGTGAAATGTCCTGTCACATTCAGACTGATAGTGTGTTGTCATTAACTTTGTAATTACACGATTTTCTTGTATTTCTGCCGAGTCTGTCAAAAAAAAAGAGTCGCAGCACGGTATTATTTTTGCTTAAGCTAAACTTGACCACATGATATAATTTGCATTGTAAATTGCAAACAGTAAAGGCAATTATTAGTTTTACTTCACCAGATCACATAATTATACTACATTTTTATTTGTTTGAAGGTACAATCAGTATTTAAACAATTAATGCGCGATTGGAGCTCTTTGGGAGCCCCAGAAAGGAAACAGTGCTATGAACCGATTTTTGAAGAGATATTTGCTAATTATCCAGAAGATAAATTTGACAGAAGTCGCATCACCGTTTTGGTACCAGGAGCAGGCCTTGGAAGACTGGCATTTGAAATTGCATCAAGAGGGTTCTTTTGCCAAGGCAATGAATTCAATCTTTTCATGCTTATCGTTTCATTTTTTGTATTGAATCGTTGTAAGAAAGTTGATGAATATCAAGTTTTTCCTTGGATTCATCAGTATACCAACAACCTGCGGGTTGAGGACCAAATGCTTGACGTTAGGTGAGACATTTTATTATTTATTTATTTAAGTAGTTAGTACAAATACAATATTATTACATTATTATATGTTAGTACAGTGGTCGCCAACCTCTCAATGTGTTGAGCTACTTTGTTAATTTTGGAATAAACAGCGAGCTACCCATACGGAAGCCACGTAACGCAACGTAAATGAAATAATCCACAGTTAATTTATCATTATATGTATTTATTTTACTATTTAACTGGTAATACATAATACATAGGTACTAATAATAAACTAATAACAAAATAACTAATATTACTAGTACGTACTTGTTCATAGCTACATTCCTACCTACCAAACGAAGGTGTTTGAAAAATAAACACAAACTTTTATCCAGCCACAACGGCATGTCACGTAAGATTTAAAAATAGTTAATAATAACAACAAAAAAGTAACGCACTATCATGAACATAAACATTGAAAAATAAAAAAGCACGTTCAATGAGAAGGCTGACACTCAGACTCATCGATAATTTTTTTAATGTTTGCAGTATAATTTGATACAGCCATTCGAATACAATTATCCAAATGTTCATCTGTAAGTCGATTGCGATATTTGTTCTTAATAAACTTCATATTGGAAAAAGAAGATTCACACAAATAGGTTGAACTGAATAATGCTTTCACTTTCAAGGCAACACGGCATAGAACTGAATATTTGTCTTTACTTACAATAGGCCAAATACATTTGGTACTTGAGACTAACGATTTTAAGGCTAAATCATTTTGAAACTCAATTACTTCCATTTCTGTTGCAGCGATGCATTCGCCAAAGTTCTGCATAACACAAGTTGCAAACTGTTGGATATCAATTTCCCTAAAGGGTGAAACAACAAACTGCGCTACTAAAGTCATTTCGTTGAAATCCTTAAAACGATTTTTGAAGTTATTTTTCAGGGTAGAAACTATTTCTACATGATATTTGCTGTCATAGGGTTCTAATGGATTTTGAGATATTTTTTCTGAAAGAATAGGAAAATGTTTGGCATCGCTGTTAATTAGGTTTTGTTCCCAAAACGCCAGCTTTTTGATAAATGCTTTTATCTCAGAAATCATTTCCGCTAGTTCTTTGTCTCTCCCCTGAAGCTGCAAATTAAGTTCGTTTAATTTCTCTGTAATGTCCACGAGAAAACCAAAATCTCTAAGCCAGATTGAATTTTTTAGTTCCGGAGTCGGTTCATCGCGTTGTTTGAAAAATTGAACTATGCCAGATAGGACATCATTAAAACGTTTCAGCACCCGTCCTCTACTTAACCATCGGACTTCAGAGTAAAGGAGTAGGTCCCCGTATTGACAGTCAACTTCATCGACCAAGGTTTTGAATAATCTTTGTAACTCTTGAGCTCTAATCTTGTTCACAATTTTGACCACCAGTTTCATAACGTTGTTTAGTTTCAGGAAATTTCCACATAATGCTTGCTGATGGATAATGCAGTGGTAACAGAGAAATTGCGGAAAAGTTTCATCTTTACGACATAACGCCACCAGACCCTTATCACAACCCACCATAGCTGGAGCGCCATTGGTTGTCAAGCCTACCATTTTCGATATTGGAATTTTCTCGGAAGAAATAATATGTTTTAAATGAGAAAACAACTCCTGTCCAGTAGTGTGTCCTTTCAGTGGAATAAACTTCAAAAGATCTTCTTTAATCGTAAAATCACTAAAAACCATCCTGACGAACACGGCCGTCTGGGCAGTGTCAACGACATCTGTTGATTCATCCAGTTGAAGTGAAAAATAAACACAGTTATCTAAGTCAGTTCTTAACTGTAAAAAAATATCATTGCTCATTACTTCTATACGTCTCATCACTGTATTAGCAGAAAGTTACATATATTTTATAGCTGAAACTATCTCGTCTTTAGTTCTAAAGTTGGCAAATAACGAATCAGCAGCTTCTAAAACGCCTGTTTTATCATTTCCCCGTCTTCATAAGGTTTCTTTTTTTGTGCAATTATCTGGGACACACGGTACGATGCTTCAGTTGCAGCCTTATTTTTTGTCGACTGTTCTTAAAAATATTGATTGTTGTCCAATTAACTGCTTTTTTAACTGTTTCAGTTTCTCCTTTCTGGCGGCAGAATGTAGTGGGAATGCTTTTTCAAAATTAGAATGTACAGTTTTATGATGTCTCTCAATATTTCCGTTTTTTAGCAATGGAGTCCTAAGTATTACATAACAAACACACATTTTTATATTTAACTTTTGTAAAAAAGTATTGTTCTTCCCATTCCGAATGAAAGTGGTATGTCTTTACCTTCTTACAACTGCTTGCCATTATTATTTTTTGTTGTTCTCTACTAACTGCTGGACGTTAGTTACGCGTTCAGTTTTAAACTAAGCGCAATGTCGCCGCGCCGTGCGTATTTATCCCGTTCAAAGCAATCCTGATCGTTCTCGAACACTAACGCGCTGGTCCGGCTGTTCGGTTCTAGCCGATTCTAGCTAGATGGCGTCAGCGGCAGATCGCTCACCGCAACGTTGCCGCTGTTTATCTTTAATATTATGACAATTAGATTTTTTTTGTGGAATTTTCGGAAGCTTCTCTGATTTTTGCAGTTTGTATTTTTTAAATAAAAATCGTTGTGAGAGCTACCAGAATTGCCTCCGCGAGCTACCGGTAGCTCGCGATCGACAGGTTGGCGACCACTGTGTTAGTACATACTAAATTATTTCATATTAATTAATTCATATTATTTATTATATTCTAAATGTTTGTAAATAAAAAGTATAAAATTAAACTAGTTCTTAACTATAGATTTTGAACAAATTAATCAAAATAGTAGCCCTATCGAAAAAATAAAAAAAAATTAATAAAACAGCTTAAGAAGAAGCTTACAGGTTAGTAGCAGTACATAAAAATACAAAAAAGATTGAACATTGAAACGATGGTATGTGAATTTCGTAAGATATAGGTAATGCACATTAAGTGAGTGAACACTTGTTTTGTGCATTATACAATACAATAAATATTCAATAAATTAATACATGAAAATATAAAAACAAAGAGGATGAAAATGTGCTCCTATTAAATATTTATAAATAGGATTATGAAAACTAGGTAGTTTTCATGTATGAAGGTTTTACTTAATTTTGAGAAACTTTTATAATTTTTGATATTTTTTATGTGATTACTCAACAGATTAAAACATTTGGGTCCTAAAAACGTAGCAAATCGTTTACTGCAATTAAAGTTAATTTGTGGAGTCCATAATAACTTATTTGAAACACTTCTAGTCGTAACTTCATGCACAACATATTTTGCTGTTTTTTTCATGTAAATAAGCATAGCGAATGAAAATACAGTGACCTGACATTAAAAATTTCTGAACTATATAGACATCTAGTTGAGTATGTTCTGTCTTTCTTTAGGATCACTTTTAATACATAATTTTGTATACTACTTAAATTATTTAAGTTATTTGAATAAAGACCACCCCAAACTAAGATGCCGTATCTTAGTAGTAACTCAACAAGAGATTTGTATATTAAATTTAAAAGATTCTTATTAAGGATATCACGAAGTTGGTAAAATTTATATATTAATTTACTAACTCTTTTTGTTAAGTAGTTAATATGTTCTTCCCATTTCAGATTTTGATCAATCATAATGCCTAAGGCACTTTATGTATTTAGTTTCCAAGATACTTTCATTAATAATTTCGATTTTTATTGAATAATTAAAGAGTGGACGATTTACATTAGTTTTTGAAAAAGCGATATATTTGGTTTTGGTAGCATTTAAAGATAACTGATATTTGTCTAACCATTTCTTAACCGTGGACATGCCTAGTTTAACAATACTTTCTATATCGTCCCAACTATCACCTCTGAACAATATGACAGTGTCATCTGCATATATTATTTTACCATTTATGTCCAAAGAGAGTAATGAATTAATGTATAGAATAAACAAAATGGGACCTAACACTGTACCTTGTGGGACACCAGCTTTAATTGTCATGCTTTCACTCACACAATTCTTTATTTTAACGGTTTGCTCACAATTAGTAAGGTAGTTAGCAAAAATATTTAGCACAGTGCCTCTCACTCTATAGCATTCAAGAACTGTTAAAAGCTTGTTGTGATGCACTGTGTCAAACGCTTTTGCTAAGTCTAAAAATATTCCAAGACATTTTTGTCCAGTATCAAATTTTTTTATAATTTCATTAGTAATCTCATACATTATTGCATTTTCCGTACTTTTACCTTCTAAGAATAGAATCCGAATTGGTTTGAATTAATAATATTTTAATAATTTTAGTAAAGTTGGTTATAACACTAATTGGTCTGTAGTTAGATATATTTTGTTTGTCTCCAGATTTAAAAATGAGAGTAATGATACTTTTTTTGAATTCTTAAGGTATTTGGCCTGTTATAAAAATTAGGTTGATTATATGAAATAATGGCAAAACGATGTATGTATGTATGTATAGTTTTGATTAGTTTAGATGTTATGTTGTCATAACCAGGGGCACTTCTATTTTTAAGAGAGTTAATGTGTCCAATAATTTCATTCGTTGATACAGGAGTTAAGTACATTGTCTTAGTGTTAAGTGGAATATTATGCTTGAAATCATTGGCCTCAGAAATAGAATTTATCATTTTGGTAACTATGTTGGAGAAATAATTATTGCAGAAATTAGCCATTAACGTATCATTTTGAAAGTTCTCTCCATTTTCGTTAGTTACTGGTATTTGACTATTATTTTTTGTTGATGTTTCATTTGTCGCCTCTGATATAATATCGTATAAATAACAATAAATGAGTAAAAGCTATACAATATTTATTATGTTCTAGATTTCCAGATGTAATTCCTACACCTACACCAGATAGTGGATTTTCCATGACAGCAGGAGATTTTTTGGAAGTTTACACTCACAGTGATGAATGGCATTGTGTAGCGACTTGTTTCTTTATTGACTGTGCACCCAATGTGGTCCAATTTATAGAAAATATATACAAGATACTAAAACCTGGTGGATTGTGGGTCAATTTAGGACCACTTTTATATCACTACTCTGATATGAAAAATGAAAAAAGTGTTGAACCCAGTTTGCAAGTCGTTTTGCAGGTAGATACAAGGTTATCATAAAGTAAGGAATATATTTCAGCTTATGTAATTTTAACAAATGTCCAACGGTGGTTAAAGCAAATGTTCGATTTCATCCAATTTGCTGCTATACAATCTCCAACCGTTCCTCCAAATTGTACACAGCATTATTCAGCATTTCTGATTGAATTGCGTTGTTGGTCGTGTTATAAACAACACATTTTTTAAATAATTCCACATTCATAATAGAATCACAGCTTATACAATACAGCTCCACAACTCCGTGTCGGCGCCTTTGATTTGGCGGTCGAGAATCAAGGAAGACGGAATGGTGTTATCTCTGTTAGATTCGACGGAAAAGTCGGGCCCGGAATAAAAAATATTTTTATTATTGAAATAATTAAAAACCTTGGCGTAATAAGGTTGGTTACATGCCACATTAAGTAAGTTTTGAGAAATTAAGTTTTAAATTTGTTTTACGTCTGTCAAATATAATTAAAAAAATTATTTAAATGTAAATATTACGAAAAATAGCACATCTTTCGGATTAGAGGTAAAATAATTTGTATGTGTCTAGTAATATTCTCGTTAACAGATGTTTTGAGCTAAAACAGTCACTTCACGACAAATTGTGGCTTGGATCCTTTTTATACCAAGGGCTTCAATTGTTAACGAATTTTGTCACGCCCGTGGATGCAAATCAAGTGGTATCCCGTGTGTCTGGCAAGTGTTACTCATCACACAAAGGGTTTATACCTAGATAAACAAAAGCTTCGACTGAGGTCTTGAAACTCTATGGTATTCTGGAATTATAAAGAATCGGTCACTTATGCTTTTATTTTAATAATATTGGTTTTATTTAGATGTATTCTTATTCATTGGAATACAGATTTATAGAAGTAATACTTTGATAGTTTTTATTAATATAATATATTCAATTTTTATCTGACCATACCGAAGTAGGGAATTTTGAAACTTTATAGTAATGTGAAATTTGAATTACAATATTACACGAAATTACATAATTAGTACTTATTTTAGGTAGGTACTAAATTTGTACTTGGAGAAAGTAATTTCGATTTTTACAAGAAAACTAATTTAGTTCCTATTTCTGATGTAAAACTTAAACCAAGAAAACAAATAAATAATAGTTTGTTCAATAAGAGTGCATATGATAGCCATATCACACGAAGACGAAGTTTGAGCACAATGCCGTAGGCGGAGTACTCAATCGTCTGATTGTGATATGGACAATCCAATCGAGTTGTACAGTATATTTTTTCTACTACCCACTAACGAAAATCTACAAATTTAAGAAATTATTTTAGGTTATTTAGACAAAATAACTAATTTTAAAATAATTTACGAATTTTATTAATTTATAAAATAAACATGAAAAAAAAGATTTAATTTAATTAGTCCTCGGCCTAGATTCGATCCCGAGCTTTTCGTGTGGAAGGCAGGTGCTCTGTCCTCATCTTCACCGACCCTTTCAGGATTTTAGTTTTAATACTCGTAATTAAATTAGTATCATGTAGTTTGATTAAAATTTAATTTTTTTTTTATATGTGGATCCAATAAAAACAAAAATGCTATTATTTATCGAATCTACACCAAAATAACTCATTTTAATGAATATTTAATATCAATAACTAAAATTGTTCTCACTACCTAAAATGGATATGAAATATATTCGTTTAGTTGAACGCAATATCATACTTTTTCGTTTTGTAGTCTGTGCGTAGATTAGCTAATATCCATGTGGGCGTAGAAAAATTATTTAATCAAAAAAAATAAAATAAAGGGTGTTCCATTTAAAAAACATACATTTTAATTTGCCAGCAAAAAACGCGACATCCTGTATAACCAAAGATATTTTTAAAATATGTAGGTATTTTTCAATTCCATATAAATTTTATTTAAAACTTTTTTGTGTGTTTACAACACAAATATTGAACAATTACGCACTAATGGGACACCCTGTATAAATTATATTTTTAACAATGAAAATTTCTTATAATGTGGTACTTCTCTTTTTGGGTCCTTGGGAAAACGAAAGAATTATTAGCCTCGTGTTCTATGTAGGCTTTGTTACTGTTTCCCAGCGCCACTTTAGGAACAGCACTGTTAATTAGAACCCAACAGTGAATGGTCGAGTGGGGAATCCTACCAAGGCATCAGAATCAATTTTAAATAATTTAAATTAAATAAAAAAATCCTGGTCAACGGTGGGATTCGAACCTGAGACCCTTGGATCCACAGGCAGAGGCTCTACCACTGAGCCACCCACCCCGTCTATAACCCTTATTAAAACAGCTTTTGACTGCACAAACAGAATGATGTCTTTTTTTCACTCATTCTACTCACAGCTAAAGAGTCACCAAAATAATAACAGTACCTTTAACTTAACACACCAGAGAGCTCAAACAAAATCAACAAAATTATAGGCTCAACGAAATTATGCAATCAACGAAATTATAAGCACGGCTCAATACCTTACCTAAGTACGCTTCTGAACGCCAAAACCGTCTTTTCCCTTCGAAGGCGGAGCTTAAGCGATGCGCGACGAAATCGACGCAAACCGTTGCCGCCAAGAGAGTGTTTTAGCTGTATTGTATAAGCTGTGGTAGAATACCACAATTGTAGATAGTGATTCACTTTGTAAAGAAATTTTATAGGCCAATCAAATTAGACATTTACCCTGTACAAAAAAAAGTTGTTTTAAATAGTTGTTGATTTTTTAAATACCGACAAAAGGAGAAATATTCAGTATTAATTAATAAACAAATTAGCAGAGTATTGCAAAATCTATTTAATCTCTTACAAATTTACTAACTTCTTCTACTAAAACCTTTTTCTTCTACTCACTCTTCAAAGACTATACGTTCAGATAGTTTCAAACTTTTTTTTATATTTTTTGAGTTACTAATTCATTTGTTTATTATTTACCTCCAGAACAGATATCATTTTGTTGAAATAATTTCAATAATTTGACTGGTCTATTTTTAAACTGTTCAAACGCCTTCAAAGTGATTAAAAGTTCGAAGTAAAATGAAACGTTGTCAGCGTGTAGTTTGTATCTTTATCTAACGGTAGATAATGTCCAAGATCAACACTGTTGTCGCAAATTAAAGCGACGTTATTGGCAACAACACCTTTGAATCTTTCTTGGATGTTATCGTCGTAGCAGTGTCATAGGCGCGCTGATAGGGATTTCATAAAGCAAATACCGGAGTTGTTTGGGGCGACTAAGAACTGCCCCACGATACCTAGATTTTATTAGGTTCAGTTTTAAAGTAAGATTATAGGCGACTACGAACTGCCCCACGCTACCTAGATTTTATCGGGTTTTAAAGCCAATTGAAAACGGCTACTTTTTATCTCAAAGATTAACCAAATCCTTTATTGTATTCAAAAAGGGACCAAATTCCTAAAATAAGAGCGAAATTTAGAAATTATTAAATAATGACTATCACAATTTAATCGAATACGCTCCCACTGCTTCAAGCTAACATGGACTCCATCTCATCGAGATATATCTTCCATAAGCCATATAAAGTTATAATAGAACAAATAGAAGAGCCGGAAGTGGCAGGTACGATTCATATCTACACCGACGGTTCTAAAACAAAACAAGACTCAGGATGTGGAATATACTCCAGATTCTTAAACCTAAGCATAAAATGGGCTGTGAGCAATAGTGCCAGTGTAGTTCAAACAGAGCTAACGGATATTCTCATAGCAGCAAAATAAATAACCAGAAACAATATCACTGGAAGGAACATGCTCATCTATACAGATAGCAGACAAGCACTATTCACCCTGAACAGACCACGAATTTACTCAGGGTTAGTACTAGAATGTCACGAAGCTTTGGCCGAAGTATCCATCAACAATGTGGTCACCTTAAGATGGATCAAAGGTCACGCCACATCGAAAGGTAACCGTCTTGCTGATTCACTAGCCAAGAAAGCAGCCAACCAAATACTGTTTGGACCTGGCCCTTCTATTGGCCTGACAAAATCGGTAGTGACAGACCTAATCAAAGAATATTCCCTTGTGATATTCAAGGAAAGATGGGATGAAACAAGAAACTGCAGAGTTGCCAGGGAGCTCTTCAGTTATCCTTACAAGACTGCAGCAAACAAATACTTGACTATGACTAGACAGAATCTGCGCCTAATCACAGGCATTCTGACTGGTCATTGCCAAGTACGAAAGCACCTCCATATCCTGGGGCTGTCAGAATCCGCACTCTGCAGAGGGTGCGAACAAGAAGATGAGACCATCGAGCATATACTTTACGATTGCCCGACGCTCTCATTTATTAGAAGATTTGTGTTCGGCGAGTATCGGCTAACACCGGCCGATAAAAGAGAAGCACCTCTTGGCGACGTTGTCAACTACATAAAATCTGGCTCACGAGCTAGGAGGTGCCTATTATCTCAGGAGGATGCACAATGAGCCTAATGAGGTCTAAGTACCGTGAGGGTAACCCACCCTCCACACGTTACAGATACAGAGAGAGAAGGAATACTGAAAAACAATTTTAAATATTTTTCAATAACAGTTGGATTTTTATATTCCGAAGAAAAACCTAAATTTTCAATTTTTCTAAACCAATTTTGTGTTAAATGAAATGAAACCTGGTTAAATGAAGGACATACTGTGACAAAAATTTGGCAGGATTTAAAGGTAAAAACAAACATCAAGCTTTTGTAGATGGTTTATTGACATGTTTAAAAGCTCCATCTGGAAAGGGAAAACGCCTTATTACCCATATTGGTAGCGACTCAGGATTTGTTGAAGAAGGTTTAAGGATATCATGAGTAAATGGATGCAGAACATTACGAAAAATGGTTTTTAGATATTCTTTTAAAAATCGAACCAGGATCTGTTATTGTTATGGATAACGCTCCATACCACAGCCGGCGTGTAGAACAGTTACCAACCACCAAATGGAGAAAAGCCCAAATTGCAGATTGGCTTACTAAGAAAAATATTAAATTCAATGAACCAAT